CAGGAGACCCTCAAGGGGTTTCTATTTCGGTTGTCTATCTTTGTCATCGGCGTGCCGTGACATTAGAATAAGACTGACCTTTTACGCCCCTACCAAGTGTCTAACACTGGTAGCCGCGCATTTTCGCCCAGAGATACATCCGCCCAGGGCAGGGCTTTTTCCACACCACTTCCCTTATACACTTCCTCCGCGTCTCTACCGCCTAAGCCGCTCCCTTCCTTCAAAAGGAACAGCGCTGCACCGACCGGTAAAGCGCCTCAAGTACACAACGGTATCGTTCCGCCCAACGGACGCTACCATCTGTACCAACGCGATCCCCGTCGCACGCACCGCCTAACTCAGGGGAATCTCGTCCAGGCAAACCCCCCACAAGCCAGCTCACAAGGCATTACAGCCGAGCGTCGCCAAAAGGAACGCAAGGTTAGCCTCTGGCTCGAAGGCATCCCAAGAGACGCACTTACCCCGCTCATTCCTATTCCCCCCGCACATCCCTACGCTACATTTCCCGCCATCGACGTACTCAATTTCGCGCTCTCAAAGAGCTACCATCCACGCGGGATCCACGAGAATTTCAAAGGCACGCTCCCAGAGAACATTGCGCCAACTGTATACGCTACTATTCAGCGGTACAAAGTTTTGCAGCAGCCTCACATTGCGGCCAAGTTCACAGAGGAACAATTGAAGTGCCGAGATCGAATTCTCCGGCATCTATCCGTTATCAACGAGCGCATCGGAGCAGGGCACGATTTCACATTCGTCGATAGGCGCATCGCTATCAAGCTTTGCATAGGATTAGGGAAGATTTCCTTCAAAGGAATCAATAAGGAGCAGGAACGCGTAGGAAAGGAGATAGTGAAGTTCGAGAAGGAGTCGTGCTACTGGCCTTATTAGAAGACCAGTAAAATTTTTGTATCACCACTAGTAGTTGTATGCCCCGCTATCAAATCGCGTTCGTATATCAAAACTACATCGTGGATTTCTATCGCCCGGCGCAGGGACAACTTACAGTCATCTGCACCGCGTACTTCATCTATCAACCTCTCGTCACCAATTGGCAACAAGTACTCTACCACTACACGGTACAAGTACACGGCTACACCACCTACTCGGCACCATTCCGGCTCATTCCTGATTTCGAGGAAGAACGAGAATATTGGCACTACCGAGCAGAAACGCTACGAGAGGAGTTAGAAGAAGAAGGACTCATCGAGGAAGACCCCGAACCCTTCTAAGGCTGAGACCAAGCATCGATCGACACATTGTCCGTCACCTCATTTCCATTATCCGCAACATCGATCCCAATGTCTCAATACAACCTCGGAGGTGTTTCATTTCCTGGAGGACACACAATGAGTGAGCCTGCTGACCCCTGGAGGAGTCAGGCCACTTCCACATCATCAGAAGCAGGACCAGCTGCCCCTGCTGAAGAACCACACAACAGCAGCACACCCAAGGCGTCGGGAGTAGTCAGAAA